GCCGCTGAGCCTGCGCGTCTGGAGCCTGTGCTCCGCAACGGGAGAGGCCACAACGGTGAGAGGCCCACGTACCGAAAAAAAAAAAAAAAAAAAAAATTATTAAGAGTAATTGCACCTCATTTTTCTTTTTAAAAATGTGGCTGCTTAGGTCACTAGAAAATTTAAAATTGTGTGTGTGGCTTGCACTGTTGGATGGTGCTGCATTAAACCTGTTGCCTCTCCCAGGAGGAGAGGTTAAGGAATTGGTGAACATCACTGTGCAGGTGAGGTGATGTGACAGCTACCTTCAACCATTTGGATGGCTCTCATTCATAAAAGAGATTCTCTCTGTTGTGTATTTCTCAGAAGGTGGAAGGAAGACAAATGGTAGAAATGTCAGGGTAATATACGAAACACCTTTCTAAAACAGTTGTCCAAATATGGTTATGGGCTCTTTCTAGAGGTAGTGAATCCCTCATCATTATGCATAATTCAAGCAGAGGCTCGATAGCTGCTTAATAGGTTATTTGGAGAGAGCTCAGGTGGTTAAAATGAATTCCCCTTCCAATGCTGAGATTCTGATCCTGAAATAAAATCAGGCAGAGGGCTGGTTTTTACAGAAATATAAAATAGATGGATTCTGTGGGCAGGAGAAGAAGACAAAATTTACTTCACTCTTTGTTTCCTTTTCCTTTAAACTTTCATATGAATGTTTTTTAGGAGCTTTGAGGAGTTTTGCGTTCTTGGTTACAGACAACCGTTTGGTTCTCTAAGCCTGGTGCATCTGGTGAGCAGTGCATTGGTTAGGAATGTGCTTGCCACCAAGTCAAGCAAACAAACAAAATCCACCAAACTGACAATGGCAAAATAAGTAGAAACTTATTTCAGTCATGTAACAGGAAGTCTGGAGATCAGCTGCTTCTGGCATCGGTTCGTTGGCTCAAAGGCATCAGGACAAGTGTCTCTGTTCTTCTCTTGGCTTTTGTTTTCCTTCTGGTAGCAAGATGGCTGCAACTACCAACAGTGCATCTGTAAGGCTGGAAGGTAGGGGAAGGAGTAGCTCCTGATGCATCTGTCAGTTTTATCTGGAAAAGCAATAGTCTTTTCAGAAATTGCCAGCACACTTCCCCCTTTGTTTCAATGGCTAAGAGAGTCATATGGCCACGCCGCTCCCAAATCTGATTCAGGTGCTTCGGGGTCAAGAGGGAAGACCATCCAGTGGCCACTGATGATTTTTGCCTAGGTCGAGTTTTATTCAACATCTCCTTTTTAGAGATGAGAAAACTGAGGACCAGAGAAGTTCATGCCTTTGAACTTGTAGGATAGGACTAAGAGTTCTCACTTTGCCCCTTCTACCTCACTAACTTCGTTAGCAAGGACAGCATAGTCCCCCCAGATGATAGGGCATGTTGGATATAATTGTCACTATCTTGGATCTTTTTAATGTAGGTTTAGACATTTTGTCTTTCTACGAAAGAATTTTGAGCAGGTGAATGTAACGTGTACAGTAAGGAGCAGCCTTATAGTTTTTACGTTTGTCTCCCCATTAATTTGTTGAATTTCCCTATCAGTGTTCCCTGTGCTTCTCTTTTTAAACCAGTGGCCCATTATGAGTACGAGTGGAATAATATATGTGTAAGAATAAAACAATTTTAAGCCACCATGATTACTGGCAGTGTTCAGCTGAGTATCTGATTGTCACCAGCTGCTATACATACTCCTTGGATATGCAGTTGCATATTCTCAAACCGTTCTGCTTGGAAGGAAAAAAATATTATTGATTGATTAAAAAAATAAAAATTGAACCAGATTCCACTACCTCCTTTAAAGACTCAAGTCCCCCCACCGCCTGCCTCCTTTCCTGCCCCATTGCTCCTAGCAAAATCCCTTGTGAACTACTTTGGGAAATGATGGTGGTGGCAGTGGTGCGTTGGTATTTGTGAGAGCAAGAAAATGAGAGGTTGGAAATATATAAGAAAATCAAGTTTTGCTGAAGAGGAGAATTGACCTGTGGAGTATTGTAAGGCAAAATGAGGTTGGTGTGTAATAATGGAAAGAATTTGATATATGAAATAGGGTCCATTGTGGGTTGAGAAGCTGGGGACATTTACTTTGACCATTTAGGGGCAGAGAATTTGATAGGAAACTAGCTAGTTGTGGAATCCTTCCTCTGTCTATACATTATATATAACTCTTTCTTAATCCTCAAAAACCTCTCTCTATGAAGAAGGTATTTCCCGCATTTTGCAGGGAAGGAAGCTCAGAGAGATGAACTTTTCCAGGGTTTGAAAGCTAATACATCGTGGTGTTATTTAAACCCAAGGCTGACTCCAAGACCTGTGACTCTCCTACTGAGTTAATCTGAATGTTTGCAAAATCTGCAGCTCTAATTGTTTTTGCGGTTAATGTTATTAAACTGGCAACAAGTAAATAGTTTAGCTATTTGATGACTCTCTCAACTTTTTGGGCTTATTCATTTGAGACCATGTATTATTTATTTGGAGCAATGTATTTTTACATTTAACTACATATTTGATTTTTCTCAGGTCTTACTTTTTGTATTAGTGAACCAAGCTTTACTAGTACTCTTTTTTGGAGGGATACCTCTCTTATCAGGCAAAAATCTTATTCAGATAAACAAATACATGCCATGACAATAAAGAACTACAAGTTATTATTTTTCCCCATTCTTTTCTGCTGTGCATCTTACCAGGTAGAAGTTTAATTTTCATAGCAGGAAAGAACAAGTAGCAACTTTGTGAATTGTGGCATTTGAGATTAGACTGATAAGACAGTGAGTGACCTACAGCAGAGTAGTTAACAGAAAGGAACAGAATTGTTGCCGAAGACAGAGGAAGGTCTATTGTAACTGAAAGAGTAATCTTTGTCACTTGGCCATCTCAGTTTCATGATAACGCGAAGAAGCAGGAACCTTGGAATTGCTCTTCTTTATATTCCATTCCTGGATAATTACCAACCATACTCAGATCTTGAAAGGTCCTTTTATTTTGTGATTGCATCTTTCAGCAACAACTCTTATTATCCTATTATGCAATTTGTCTCATTTAAGATGCTCAGGTGGGAAAACTTTCAGGCTCAGCAACTGTAAAGATCACTATGATTGAGCGTTTCGTGGCACTTTCATTCACTTTGCTGTTGAGCAAGCAGGATTCAAGGCAGGTGAATTCTTTCCAGATGTGCTTTTGAATAACTGGACAGATCCCTGGGGTCTCTTCAGGATAACCCAAGTGACTGTGTATTCTTGCCCCCTTTGTCCACACATAGCTTCCTGTGGTCACTCTGCAGAGGGCTCTGTAGTTGTGGGATGATCTCACAGTTCATACTGAATTCAGGAGGACAGGTAGATAGTCCTCCAAGCAGCGGATCCCCAAGCTTTCCTAGGTCTGCTTGTTTGGGTACCAGAACCCATCCCTCTCCAGGAGACACGCAGCAGTTTTGCTTTCATTTGCTTTGGCACCATTTTAGGCATGAAACGGAACCGTTTTCTCCCAGAACATAATGTCCCTGTGTAGAAGTGAGTGATAGCAGTGAAGAGTCTAGAGCCAGGCCTGTTAGTAACTGATGCTGAATGACTCAACCTGACACTGATGGCCGTCTCCTGAGGTTACTGAGGAGGGGAGGTACGGGAAGTGTGGTTCCTTTACCCACTGTGCCCAGCCCCCAACTCAGCGATGGGCTACCAGGAGGGCTGAGCCAGTGGGAGAAGCCAGCACGTGGATGGGGTTTGCTGACGTGTCCTGATGTGGAAGACAGGGCACACCCAGCTCTGTATTAATGGCAGGCATTAGGTCTGAAGGACTGAAATCAGCTTCCAGATGTGCCTCCTCCTTGCCAGGCATGTTCAGGGGAGAAACTGGGACCCACCTTAGGGGTTGGCGTCAGCTCTTTATGAAGCTTTTCCTGACAATACTCTGTATTCCTGGAGGAGGACTTCGTGTTGTTCTCATGGGTTTGCCTCTAACACAGAACTTACGATGCTGTGTTATGCTTGTCTGTTTCCTTTTTTATCTCCCTAGACTGTGAACCCTTGAAGATAGGGGTAGTATATGTTATCACTGTTGTAATTCTCAGTGCTTAGGTCATATTATGCGTTCGCTAAATGTTTGTTAAATAAATGAAACAATAACATTCAGCCCCTTCATTCTGCATGGTGCTCCGTCCTGTCCAAGGGCGGAATTTTATCAGAAATGATATTGATTATCCTCAGTTGGTACTCAGACTAATGAAATACAGTAGCATAGATATGAGTAGAGCTGAAAAATAAAGGTGATTATAAAATAAATAGAAATAAACTTAGTAAGAATTGGGCAGAATTTATGAGAAAAAGACTTCCAAACTTAGCTGAGGCATATAAAAGAACACTTGAATAAATAAACATATCATGTATATTGGTGAGAAGAGTTATTATAGTAAATGTATCAATATCATTTTTTCCACATTAGTCTAAAATTTAATGCTATTCCAGTAGAACTTGCAATGGGATGATTATTCTGTGGAACTTGATAAGTCCAGAATAATATTGTTTGAGACTAATGAAGAATGAAAAACAGGGGAGAGTTCATCTCATCACATATTAAGACATTGTAAAATATAGTAAATAAAAACAAAATAGCATATAAGGTAGAAGCCAGTATAACCTGGATTCCAAAACTTGATGAAGACATTATAAGGAAAAAATATGGACTTCATTAACATAGATGTAAAAATCCTTAACAAAATATTAAGCTGAATCTAGCAAACTGAAAAAAGATAATGCATCGTTACCAAATGAAGTTTATCTCAGAAGCTCAAGGTCAGTTTACCATTTGAAAGCCATGTAATTTATCATGTTAACAGAATAAAAGAGAATTTAGAATTAGTCTAAAAACAGACTTGAGTATACATATGGAAACCTGGTACAAATCTACAATCCCTTATTTGAAACATTTGGGGCCAAACATGTTTCAGAATTTAGGGTTTTTAACAACATCTCATAGTCAAATTTGTGTTTGTTTCCACAGCAAAACTGATTAATAGTGACACTAAATGGAATAAATAAAGGCCAGAAATAGCATCAACATTACCTCAGGTAAGGCTTTGCTACCACATAATTTTGGCACCAAACTTTAGAAAACACAAACAGAAAGTTCTTTGTTTTCAAGAGCTTTGTGATTTCAGAATCTCAGGGAAGGAATTATCAGCTTTTTAACATAAAGTTGGCACATTTCAAATCAGAGATGAAAGGACTTCTGAAGGGTGTTGGGATTACATACGAGTCATTTAAGAGGAAAAAGAAATAAAGTTAAATCCCTACTTTATAGCAAAATTAATTTTTTTGGCTGTGCCACACAACTTGTGGGATCTTAGTTCCCCAACCAGGGATTGAACCCAGGTCCTCAGCAGTGAAAGTGCAGAGTCCTAACCACTGGACTGCCAGGGAATTCCCAATGATTTATAGAGATTTTACTGTTAAAAAATTAAAGAATCTATAAAAGTAATAGAATAAACTATATACCCAGTCTTTATTTATAATCTTGTGATAGTGGAGATCTTCGTAAGCATTACACCAATGGTAGAAACTAAAGAATTAAAAAATAAAGAAGAAAAAGAAAAGAGAGATTAAACTATGTAAAAATTAACTTCTATACAACAAAGAACAACATAATAAAGTTAAAAATGAATACCAACACGGGAAAAATGTTGGCATCATATATAATAGCAGCCAAAGAGTTATTACCCATAATTTATAACAAGCTCTTACAGATTAATAAACAAAAGATGAATTCTCCAGCACAAAAAAAGGACCAATTATATGAAAAGGCAGTTTGCAAGGGAAGAAATACAAATGGCTGCCAATATTCTACCAGTACTCAGACAACAATTAGGACTACTACAGCTTCTATAGCTACTGCAGCAGCTACAACCAGCTGCTACCATTTACTGAGTGTTTATTGTGCACCAGGGACTGGGCTAAGGGCTTTACACATAATGCTTAAGAAAATACTGAGACAGGTGTAATTATTTACACTTTGCAATGAGGAGTACACGATTTAGTGAGTCGAGGCAGCTTGTCCTAGGTCACACGTTTAGCAGGGCTTTTGTAACTCAGAACTGTTTGCCTCCAAAGCGCTTGCTTTTCAGTAGACACTGACTTACTGCCTCCATATATTAATGTACTTATGAAAAGAAAATCAAATGAAAGCAGCCTGAAGTTACCATTTCTTTTGTCTATCAGATTGGCAATGATTTGAAAAGAATACTCATTGCCAGGGAAGGTCAGGATGTGGAGAAGCCTGGTGGGAGTATCAATTGGCATGATCCTTCTGGAAGGCAGTTAGGCAATATGTATCAAAAGCCACATCCTTTGACATAGTGTTTCTACTTCTAGGAATTTATCTGAAAGGACTAATTTGACAAATACTCGTATGTACAAGGATATTCAATTCAATATTGTTTATAAAACCACAAGGTTGAAGGAAACTTACTTGTCCTTCAATGAAAGATTGGTTAAATCAGTTAGGGGAGAATTGATGATATAAAGCTATATTTATTAATTTTTGAACATTGTCCTATTCAAATTTATTATTGGATGGAAAAATAAAACAAAACAAAGCAGGTTGCAAAACAGTCCATGTGGTGCAACCCTATATTTGAGAAACTCAAATTGTTTATATATGCATGTATGCCAAGAAGAAAGTCTGGGACGTGGTGTTGACAGTGATGTAATTATAAGTGATTTATTTTCTTTATATGTTTCTGCAGTGTTTATTGATTTATTTTTTGCTGTTACACATATACTCTGGTTTTTAAAAAGTACTTAAAAATACATATAATTTCCCCGTACTGATGGAACATCCCAACTTGAAGATTAAGCACAAAATTCTGGGGATCTAATCCAGGTCTGTAAATTTACTTTGCTTTTGTTAGGGGGTATTTAGGTACTTTCCATACTTACATTTTACTCTTTGAAAGTTGACATGGGCATGAGTTTACACATACACATGATTTCCCACATGTTTTTCCAAGAATTGCCAGATTTCTTTTTCACTGATTGTGTTTAAAGTCATAGTTTGCCAGCTCTTTGGTTTACAAAAGCCAGTCAGTGTGAAATTGACGTGAATAAACTTTTTAATAGATATAAGGAAGTCCTATTCATGTTTGCCCAATCAGTAGATCAAGGTCAGATTTCCTTATTGGGCTGACACCTTCTTAATAACAAGTGGAGTTTTTAAAAGTAGGTTTAACAAATGTAGCTGAGGAATCCTGCCCAAGGGAAAGGTTTAGAAAAGTATTATTTCTGATAGGGAGGCAGCCATGTTGGGAATATCTTAAAAGGCTTGATATAACCTAGAATTTACTATGAAACTGTGAAAAACTAATATGTGGCATGTGAGCAATTTGCACAGTGCTTTTCAACATCTTTCTAGCCACTCAGCATTGTTTAGTGATGAGAATTGTGGACTAAGGAGTGTACATTTTGGTGGTTTTTGAAGATTTGGATATAGGGATTTGAGTTCCACTTGATTGAACTGGCAGCTTAAGAAATAGATTTTTAAATTGCTTACCGAATGAAAAAGGAAAACACTTGTAGTGAAAATGCTGGTTGTAGATAGTTCTAAAGGCCATTTGGGGCAACAGAACAAGGTGACAATCACCAAGAAAATGGTTAGTAATGGGCTTTTAGAGACAGTGTCTTAATGCAGTTGTTATTTTAAATTATCTTTAAAGTGGTTTATTGACCCTGTTTTTCTGTTTTGACATTCTCTTTCAAAGGTATATAAGTTACACTGATACTATTTGAATAGTGCAACTCTTATGTAGCAGTTAAAGAGGGTGCATTTTGGAGTCAGGCGGACCTGTGTTAAAATCCAAACTCTACTACATAGTAGTTTTTTGACCTTTGGCAAGTTACGCAGCCTCTCTAGGTCTCTCTCAGTTTCTTCATCTCAAAAATACCAACCTTACAGGCTGTTGAGAAGATTAAGTGAGATAATTTTTATAAAGAGCTTAATAGCATCTGACACAGGTAAATGCTTAGGTTGCTTTAATGATTACGTATAGTTCAATCTTATTTAGAATAATTTTATAATAATATGTAGTATAATGGAAAGAATGTATGTTGTACTGTCTAATGAACCCACATTTGAACCCTGGCTGTGCCCCTTAATAACCCCATAATCTTGGGCAGGTCACTTATGTGCTGAGCCCGAATTTTCTCCTTCATGAAACGGGGTCCTCCGTAATGCTTACTTTGTCAGATGTTGTGAGGATTAGAGATGATAGGTCAAGTGTCAAACTCTGCGTTTGGAGCAAAGTAGGTATGCAGTGAATGGTAACTATTGTCATTGCTATGGAAGCTAATAAATATCAAAGAACCTCTTAAGGGCTTTTTATATTTTCCCTCTTTGTTTTTTACCTTTAGTTTCAATTCTTTAAGAAACTGGGTACACATAGCCAAGACTATGCAATATAAGAAAAGCTAAAGAAGTTATATAAAATTGATCATAGTACTACATTCGGTAAACCAAAAGAATAAGAGTCGGAAGTGATGGATTGTATTAATAGAGAAGGATGTGTACATAGGGCCTGGCCTTGGGGCCCTTGTCAGGGACTGGTCTCTCAGGAAGAAGCAGCATGAAGGGCAGTGGTTTCATTTCTCATAGTCGCCCCCTGTCACTTACTACACTGAGGAAGTGTATGTCATGGGCTTCGGAACCTGTGCTGGCTGACCAACTGGCCAGTCCTCTAGAACAGCTGCTGGAGGTGCCTGGTGCACTGGCATTGAGGGCAGGCCCGGCTGGCTGGCAAACACTTGTGATGTTATGCTAATGAGTCCTTCTGTGGAGGCTGCCCTCCCAGGTGGGCTTTGTCCACACACGGTCCATCTTGCTTCATATTTGCATGGTATGGTGCTTGTTGTATCCATTTGTCTGCCTGTCCTCCTGCCCTCCCTCCCTTCCATCCTTCTTTCCATCCATTCATCCTTCCTTCCTTCCTTCCTTCCATCCATCCATCCATCCATCCTCTAAGTGCTAGCTATAGCAGTGAAAAACAGATAAAATCCTTGCCTCAAGGATCTTACATTTTAGAGATTCAAAGCATATTTATTTATTTATTTACTTGTTTATTTATTTTAGGCTGTGTTGGGTCTTCGTTGCTGTGCGCAGGCTTTCTCTAGTTGCAGCGAGCAGGAACGGGGGCTACACTTTGTTGCGGTGTGCGGGCTTCTCATTGCGGGGGCTTCTCATTACAGAGGCTTCTCATTGCAGAGCATGGGCTCTAGGCGTGCAGGCTTCAGTAGTTGTGGCTCACGGGCTCTAGAGCGCAGGCTCAGTAGTTGTGGTGCACGGGCTTAGTTGCTTCGCGGCATGTGGGATCTTTCCGGACCAGGGCTCGAACCCGTGTCCCCTGCATTGGCAGGTAGATTCTTAACCACTGCGCCACCAGGGAAGCCCCTCAAAGCATTTTGAAACGTCAAATGTAGTATCTCATTTGCTTTTTACAATGAATATGTGAGTTTTGAATTTTTTAGTACTATTATTTGATAGATGAGGAAGTGGAGATATTTTGAGATTAAATGGCCTACCCAGGATAATAGTACTATGAGTAGAACCCCTTAGTTTTCATTCATGGTTTAGCACCCTTTCTCCTATGACACTATGCTTTCTATTCTAAATATGTTTCCCTTTATCAGAGCACTTTTTCATACTGTTTTCTTCTTGATATATCAGTCACAGGTAGCCAAGGGAATTTGAGTTCAGTGGACAAGCTTTATTTAACCTTTCAGTGTGTTCCTTTTGTTCTTAGGGTGAGATTTGAATCCAAACTGTCGTCTACAATGTCCTGAAGCATCTGGCTATGCCACCTTCCCAGCTTGTCTTGGGACACTTACCCTCTTATAACCTGCCTTCTTTCCTCACCTCAGAAGCTTTGTGTTCTTTCCAACTTCAGGCCTTTGCATATTTTGTTCCCTCTGCTTGGAATGCTTCTCTCTGTTCCCCCTCCTGTCCCTCCATGCCCACCTTCATGGAGTTTCACTCAACTCATAGATCTCAGCTTTAATGCCACTTCTGCGGGGAGGCCTTCCTCATCCCCCAGCCAAAGGTCAGGTCCCTGTGCCATACATACTTTCTCACAGCATCCTGTGGTTTTTCTTCGTAACAAGCCTATCACAATCCATGGATTTGTTTGCTGCCTTCCTCCCGTCTTGGAATGGTTAGAAGATAAGCTCTATGAGGGCAGGAACTCTGGTTATCTTGTTTCCACTACTGTTTCCCCAGCTAGCACTGGGCCTTATATTAGATGCTCCAAAAATATGGAATGGAGAGTGCCTGGAGCAAATTTATGGTTTGTTCAATTTCACATCCCTCTGGAATCTGATTCTAACAATGAAGGCAGTTTATGAAATGGTGTAGGTTACTCATGTTTCATTAATGTTTAAATAAGGAATGGGAAAGCAACTACTAAGGTTTGGAAAGTTAGTAAAGTGGCAGCAAAAAGTGACAAAGGGGAGAAACAAAACTCCATACAGAGCCTGGGGGAAAAGAGAATAAAACAAGTTATTTGTTTTTGTGTCCCTTTCCCACTAAACTTTGAGCAATTTGAAGTCAAGCAAATGGCATTTCAAATACTTTTGATGGGTGGATGGAAGGTGTGTTAAATTTAGATGGATCCACCAATTTCCTTGAGTTCCACACTGATTTCTTTTAGGATGTGACTAGGTAGCCCGATTATTCTCCCGTACCCCAGCTCCCATCCCCATCTAATTATGATACAGAGGACAGAGAATTGTGACCAGTTTTTCTTTTTCCTCTGAGGATAGAGCAAGAACAAATGGTTTCAGACTACAGCAGGACAGAGTTTGGATCAACCAGCAGGATGTATATGAGCCTTGCACTAGGCTCATTATGTTTAAAAGCTAGAAGTCATTTTACAGCCATATCAGGTTAGTTCTCGTTTATAGCACCTGTTTTTTTTCATGCAAAATATGCAAGGCTCTGGAGATACAAAAACAATTAGTTCCTTGAGGAGTTTTAGTCCAGCAGGGGAGACAGATGCATGAACAGACATGGTACTCTCTGATAGAGGCAGTGCAGGTACATATACAAGTGACACAGGAGGCAGAGATGGACTCAGATGTGGGACAGGTGAGGGGTGGTGGCATAGGCCGCCTGCTGAAGAGTAGAGCTCACTGTGTGGACGGGGTTGGAGAGGCTGTTCTAACTAGAGGAAAAAGCGCGTGGAGAGACACAGAGGCATGTACTAGCATGGCAGGTGCAGGGAACTCCAAGTAATTAGATATTGTTTGATTGTCAAGTACGAAGGCTGTTGTGAAGTCTGGCAATGCCAAGGTAGGTTATAGAATTTCTTTCTTTGAAGTCTTAAAAATCAAAATGAAGCATTTATGTCTGCTTAGGTTGGTTTGGGTAGTATTTTTGCCAGAGGTAGAGGCATATACTGTATGTGTCAGAGAAAGGTCAATGACTATTTCTGTAAATGTTGAAGTTGTATTAAATAATTTAAGAGAAAGGACTCAAACTTCGCACTTTACTGTATTTGCTATTCTGGGATGTACAGTTTTCGAGTCACTTAACTAAGGCAGTCTGCTTTGTGGAACTCTTCTCCCTCTTCATGAAACAAGTACATTCATAAAAAGCAGTAGAAATTCAGTGTCCCCCTTTCTCCATTGGAGGGGTGTTTTCTTTTGGAGCAGAGGTAGTTCCCAGGGAATCAGTGTAAGAGTCAGAAAAAAAATGGAGGATGGCCTCTCCTGGGCCACTCTTGGCTGCCTGGGAGTGAAATGGAACCTCGGATATTGTGTACCTTTAAATCGTCCATGTTGCCTGTTTCACGGCCTCCCCAGGCCAAGGAACTGGCTAGTCAGTTTCTAGTTCTCAGAACTGGAGCAGGACTGCTGTGCTTGCAGTTGCATGCTTTTTATGGAACAGGGAATGTTGTTTAGGGAATTTAGGCAGCTGGAACCTGCCACATTAGCAATTTGGACTAAGGAAAAATTTCAGAGTGAGAAAATACAGCTTATTATATAATTTCACTTGGGTATTTAGGAGGCTGAGAGGGGAGATGAGAGTATTATGAAGGCAAGTAGGAGAGTTTCATAAACAGCTCCCTCCCTCTCTATTCCTTTTTACTGTAAGAGCTGGATTTAAATAGGGTGATCACGTGGCCCATTTTGAAAAGGGCAGTCATGTTCTTCTGCTGTTTTTTAGCTGTTTTGTCAGTTGGAGCAAAACAACAGCGCTGCTCACTTTTTGCAGGGTTAGAGGAAAAAGGAAGGGCTGGCAGAAGAATGGGGTGGGAAGCTAGAGGAGAGAGGAGAGGCCGAGAGTGTCAGACTGCGGGGACGAGGACCTGAAGGAGGCCCCTTTGGCCTCAGGGATGGGGCCTGGAACTCTGCCTTTTTGAAGCCTGTTGACGATCTCATCCTAATTTAGCCTTTTGTGGAATCTTCCATGAGATGTGGTTGCCAACTTCAGCCTTCCTAGAGAATAGAGCCTGCTGAATCTGTTATGAAGTCTACCCAGAAGAGTTGGCAAAGCAGGCCCCCTCCTTAGAACAAGGATAACACTGACAGAAGGTGAAAGTCCGCTCCTCCTTTAAGAAAACACAGTCAGTGCCTCACACCTGTTTCACCCGCACTGCACAAAAGAAAAAAAAAAAACCACCGGCCCTCAGCAAAAACTAAAACTGACGTCACTGTAACCTTTGGTTATTCTTTTTTTGTGCGTAAAGTGTCAACCTCTTGTTTTATCTTGTAAACAATGGAAATTTTATTTCTTTCCAGAAAATTACAAAAGGTAACAGGGACCATATTCAATCAGAATAAAAATCATAAGTAACCCAGAGAGTCTGGCTTAAAAAAAGAAAAAAAGGAAAAAGAAAGAAAGAAAAAAGAACGTGTCCTCTCGGCCTTAAAACTTGTCTTAAAGGGAAATCATTTAGGTTCCTGGTGGCTTCTTTCTTCATCATACTAACTTCTGTTAACAAAGTGTGATTTTGAAAGGATGCAGGGAGCTTGGGAAAAGAGAGCTTTATATATTTTTTGTTTTTCCCTTTCTCCTCCCAGCAAAATACAAAGGTATCTGACCGTAGGGATGCTTAAACTGAGCTATTCTGATTGACAATGGTCAGGACATGGAAGTGTGGTGCCCCGGGATGGGCAGCTGCCCGGATAAAGGACCTGGCTGGCTGTACTTTCCACCTCTCTCTCCTACACCCAAACGGGGAGATTTGAGCAGTGGTTAATGTAGCCTCTTCTTTTAAAAAAATGTGTCCCCTGCTCATTTCCAACACAGATTTGAGGTTGTTACTCGCTTATCTTAACAGAACATGTGTCTTGAAAGTATTATTTAATATAGAATATAATGTTATTTAGATCTTATTAAATTATCCTGTTTTTAGGGTATGCCAATGGACTAAATTTGTCTGAACTACTGAGATTTAGATTATCTAACTTTTATTGGCATTGGAGGATTTCCGTGAAAAAAAAAGCTATTGAGATTAAATATTAATATCATATAAATCTTTCTAGGAAAATATAATCGAAAGCATCAAGGCTCCTACAGTTGGTGGTTTCTGTTATCTTGGTTCACAGAGCTATGACAATGTCATTGAATTTCAAGAATTCAAAAAGATAAAAATAAAACTCATAGTTTTGAGATGGAGAAAGAGAAAGATCCTGGAAGTTGTCTTCGTTTTTAAAATAGTCATTCTCACCTTAAAAGTACAAAAACTGTTTTTCATTTATTAAGAAAAAACCCTGCCAGCTTATACTCCTGAATTAATGCAAAGACCAGTATTTTATAAACACTACTAATAATTGTGGAGGCTACTGTTGACAACTCTGCTTTTGATTTATTGCAAATATGCCTTCAATTTTCTTCCTCATTACCAACGACCTTCTTTAATTATAATAGGACTTTCATACAATATTTGTATTGTTTATTTTGAAGCATCTAACTTTAAAAGAAGTTTACTGATTTTTATGGCAAAAAATACAAATGTTTTTATTTTAGGATACAGACCATAAACTAAAACGTTACTGGGGGAGTTTGGCCAAAGATACAAAAATATAT